AAGGAACCCCATTTCCATGGGAGAGGTGGCTGGAGCTGGGCTTGTGGGGTCGTGTCTGGTCTGCAGCTGCGCAGGGCAGGGGCAAGGTCAACCCCAAGAGCTTCAGGACCACCGGAATCCCTCCTGGGCTCATAGAAAATTCTCCTCAGGGGGTTGAGGACCTGTGCAACAGCCTGCTGCTTGCCGTGACCCCCCAGGACAGCGGCCCCGGACACCCCCCAGGGCTTGGGGGATGGCAAGTCCTGGCCCCTTCCATCCTCCCACCTTCTGCACCCCCACTAACCGGGCGGGCCACAGCTCCAGCTCCCCTGGGCATGGGCAGGGGGAAGAAATATTTGCTTTTTCCCTTGGTTACTGGCTGGAGCCCGCCCGTGGGCTCCTCGGAGCGGGCTGTTGTGAAAATCCTGCTTACGCAGCTGCGGTCCCTCCTGCTCTTCCGAGAGCAGAAAAGAGGAGTGGGTGGTTCGAGGCCCAAGGCCAGCTCCTCCCGGAGTCTCCCAGGACCTGATATAAGTGTTAATGTCAGAAAAATATTGCAGCTTTCCTCATACTGAAACCCTCTGCTCCGCTTGTTTGGCCGGTGACAGCAAATGGGAACCGCATGCGGGTAATGAATTGCAGATGGAGGGGTCCGGGAGGAGAGGCACCGCCTTTCACACCTGAGCTGGGGCACCTCCTGCACCCCCCAGTCCCCGTGGGATCCCCCTGGGTGTCAGCGAGCCTGACCTCAGCGCTTGATGGTTTTGGAGCCCCGAAATGGGGCCGAGTTAAGCGATACACCCAGAGTAACCCTTTGCTGGCTGGAGGCTTTTGCGAAGCTCCCCGACCTCCAGCAGGACGGACGCATCAGCTGGGGCAGGGCAGGGGCGTGGTGCTGGTGGTGGCCAAAAAGCAGGATTCGTGGCCAAAAATCGGCTTCGTGCCCAGCGTGCGATAACCTGATCTCAGGGGAGATGTTGTATTTATCCAGCTCTGGGGGCTCGGGGGGACTTTTCCACGCACCAAGCACCCCAAGAGCAGGTTTTTGTGCTCCCTTTAGATGCGAAAATCAGAGATGAGTCCTTTTCCAAACCGTGCCTATTAGATTGGTTAGTGATTAACACACAGTTAGAGCCCAGCTTACCTAATCCTTGAGCTGCTCCCCGTGCCCAGGGGAAGGGTTTTACCCTGAGCAAGGGGCTTTTTGCCCTGGGGGGTGGTTTTGAGTATTATAATGCAGGTCGCTCACTCGCAGGCCGCTCAAAAACTAATTTTGTTGCCAAGTTAATTAATCGAACGGTCCCTTTGCCAAGTTGTCACATAACTCATCCTCAGCGCAACCCCCGACATTCTCTCCATGGTCTGGGACGTTCAGATAATTTTCTAGGCTTTGGGGATCAAAGTCTGTCCTATCACTAATTAAGGTCACCTTGACCACGCTTCCCCATGTGGGCAGTAACGAGCTCCTGGCACAATTATTACCCTCTTTTTGGTGTCTCCTTGGAGACACCTCGGATCTGGCAAGGGGCAAAACTGGGTGGTGCTGCCGGACCTGCTGTGAAGTTGCTGGTTCTCAGCTACTCTCGGAAACGTTGTGGGTCTGCAAGAGTCCAACGCAAAACCGCAGGCACCCAACGCCCTGCACCCTGCCCCAGTGGCACGGGAGCACTCGGAGAGCCGAGGCTTCAGGCTGAAGCATTCCTACCCCTTGGGGCTGGGATGGAGAGATGTGGGGTCTGTATTCAGACTAGGCTCCGGCTCCCACCTAAGACCACAACCTGGCCCAGATTTCAATGTGAGCTCAAGCTCTGAACATGGGCAAAGCCCAAACCCAGATGTCTTTTCCCTGCAGTTGGGTTCACAGCACAGCAGCTTTTTCTTGTCTTGCCTTGAGTTTTCTTCCTAGCTATTTTAGTAGTGAAAACCCAGCTCCTTCACACGCGGCTCTTGCTGCTCAGGGCTTGTGGCAGCATCGAGGAGGAGCTGGAGCGCAGGTTTGGGCAAGCTGGGGCTGGCAGGGATGTCAGGATCCAGGCACCTTAGAATCAGAGATGGGTTTGGGTGGGAAGGGACCTTCAAAGTCTATCTAGTCCACCCCCCTGCCCCGGGCAGGGCCACCTTCCCCCAGCCCAGGTTGCCCAAAGCCCCGTCCAACCTGGCCTTGAGCCCTTCCAGGGAGGGGGCAGCCACAGCTTCTCTGGGCAGCCTGTGCCAGGGCCTCACCCCCCTCACAGGGAAGAATTTCTGCCTCAGATCTCATCTAAATCTCCCCTCTTTTAGTTTAACAATCAGCCCTTGTCCTGTCTTCCTCCATTCCCTTATTGCTGCCTGCCTGCAGGCAGGGAAGGCAGGGGATGGGGTCAAAGAGTGAGAGCTGGGGGGGTGACAGCTCTACATCTTTCCCTACCTGGGATCCCCACCGGGCCTTTTGCACCCCAGCTCTGCCCGTGCAGGAGGGGAGATGTGTGCATGCTGAAACTGGGCTGCCTGCCCCCAACCCAGCCCCATATCACACAGAACCCCAGAACCATCTGGGTTGGAAAAGCCCTTGCAGCTCCTCCAGCCCCACCATGACCCTCCCCCTGACCGTTCCCAACTCCCCCAGATCCCTCAGCGCTGGCTCAGCCCGACTCTTCAACCCCTGCAGGGATCCCGGGGACTCCCCCCTGCCCTGGGCAGCCCATTCCAACGCCCAACAGCCCCTTCTGCACAGAAATCCTTCCTCAGAGCCAGTCTAAGATAGCACCAGTGTGGGCAGGATCAGGCCCGTCCCTGCCTACTGCATGGCTGAGTGCGTTCTGTGAGTGTGGCTGGGTGCCAGCATCGATGGTCCTGACTTGGGGAAAGCCCCTGGATCAATGCAGGGTCATGCAGAGCTGTACCTGCACCCACGAGGCATTGCTGGAATTATATTTGCAATTTTTTTCTCCCGGTGGGTGATGGACCCCGGGTGGGTTGGGTACGTGATGCTCTCCCTGACCCTCCCACTTTGTCCCCCAGGTTCCGGGCAGAGGATGAAGGCAGCCGGGTGCTGCAGCCGGCTGGGCTCCTTGGCAGCACTGAAGTACGCCGTGGTGGGGCTCTACCTCCTCGTCTTCCTCATCCTTGTCGGAGTCTTCATCCTCGCAGGTAAGGGGCGAGCCTGGTGCTCCCTGTGTGGTGCAGCGGTACCCTAAGGGTGATGCTTGGCGGAGCTCAGAGATACGGGTCTGGCTGTGGCCATGGGACCATTTTTCTGCTGCCTGTGGTTTCCCACGGCATCCAGGGGAGGAAAATCCGGGATCCAACGGGATACCTGCCTTGGTTTGCAGCTGCCATGCCCCACTTCCAGCTCCTTGGGGACAACAATGTGAGCTCACACCGGCTCCATACTGCACGTCTGGAGCGGGTTTGATTTAAGCTTTGAGGCTGGAGTCGCTGCAGGGTCCGAGCATCCCGTGCTGGGGATGGAGAGGCTGAGGGGAGGCTCAGGAGCCCCATCACTGCCTCCTGGGTCTGCGCAGGGGGAAGGCTGAGCCCCAGCTCCATCAGCGCTGGAGACGCGGGCAGAGCATTATCCTTGCACAGCACATCCCGCACACGCCCGCAAGGCTCCTGCCTCCCCTCTCTGGCTTTTCGGTGAGCTCAGGGATGGGAAAACTGCTTGCAAAGGCCTGTAATTGCTCCCAGCCCCAGCTCATCCCTGTGTACACATCCCATGTGGTCCGCGTTGCTGCCAGCTCGTTTTTTTTCCTCTCCGTCGCGCTGGCAGCGTTTTGGGAAGGTGCCTGGTTTAACCCACGGTCCCTGTACCCCCTCCTTGCACCCGTACCACCCCCGTGGGGGGCTCTGCTGGGTGGAGGGGCTTGGGTGGGTGCCGCGGCGGGTGCTGGTGGGGAAATGCCACCACCACAGACCAGCTCCTCACTTCCCACCCGCCTCCTTCTCGGCTTTAACCCCAACATCCATAGCGGGGGGTGGGATATGGGCCCCCCCTGTCCCTTTCCAGCCCCAAATCCCCACTAGCTGCTGGGCAGGGCTGAGCGCTGCCCCCGCACCATCCCTTTGGGATGATTTGGGGGGCCTTGCCTGCACTCTGCCTGCTGCAGGCAGCTGGGGGGGGGCAGTGATGGATTTCATGTTTCACTCCAGCTGCGGTAATGCCAGCGCCGTGAAGGCAGCCTGCGTCTTTTGCAAAGGGTGGATTTAGTTTTTCCTGGGCTTGGGAAGGGACAGAGAAGGTTTTTCTGGAATTTTGAAGCCTCTCCCACTTATTTCTTGCATTACATTGTTTTAATGTTGTTGTTGGCCCGCGAAACCCTGAGCGAGGGATGCCATGAATTGTGCAAAGAGCTCGGGACAGGCGCTCTTGTCCTGGGCTGAGCTACAGCTGCTCACCCGAAAGCAGCTCCAGCAATAACAATAACATTATGGCATCGGCTGATGAGTTGGAGGCTCACGGTCACGGACATCTCCAAAGCTCCACCTCCTGGAGTCCCGTGACTGGCAGGATCTCAGCTTTCAGTAAGACCCCAGTAAAACCACCTAACCCCCCGCGTTGTGGACCGCAATCTTGGAAAAGAAAGGCAAAATGAAGAGAAAAATCATCTCCTTCATTATTTTGGCATGTCTGGAGCTTTAAGCCAAGCCTCTGGCTTTGGATGCAGCTGATTCACAAGGTCTGGAGCCGGCTGGGCCGACCGTGTGTGCCCGGAATGGTCTTATCACATCAAGGAAAACCGCAGGCACAGGGTGGTCTTGCAACAGGGTGAGGAGACCACATCCAGCTGGGAGCCACCCGTAGCCCAGGGAGACACCCCTGATGCTCCTCAGCTTCGGGTGTCAGTGGCTGAAACCTCAACGTTGGAGCTGATGGTCTTCGGGAGACCAGGACTGGATATTCATGGGCGCTCTTAATGGTGGAGGGTTTGGTTTTCCCATGGAAAATCCCACTTTGTGCTACTGGAGACCAGACACCAGTTTGCCAGAGCTGAGCCCAGCATCCCTCATCTCCCATCTGAGGGGAAGGTGCAGCATTTCGTGAGGCAGATTTGTTCTCTCCTGCTCCTTGGTCAGGGAGGAGCTGCCCACGATGCTGTAGGAGGAACGTCACCACTTGATGTCCAACCCTGGCCGTGGTGAGGACCCTGCGGTGAGGTCCCACCTGGAGCAAACACCATCCCACCCGGGGAAAATGAGCGTGGGGTGTCCAGCTCATCTCCAGACCTCTTTGGGGAGGGATGCAGAGCTGTGATACCCAGCCTGCTCCCCCCAAAAAACGCCTCTCCCCACACTGGTCGGGTAAGGGGGATGGGGAAATTGTGCCCCTGTTGCGTGCCCTCCGCTGCCAGCACCTCTTCATCCCAGAGCCAGCGACACGGAGAGGGGCTTCTCCGCCTGCCTCGCTCCGCTGCTTCCCATCCTGCCCACGGGAAAGGAGGAAAATTCTCAAAAACCTCCTTGGAAAGTGCATACGCATGCAAACACGCACAGAAATACCCATGTGTGTGCAACCACACGCTTCCACGCCCCACGGTTCTTCCCAGCAGGGCTGGGGCATTGCAAGGGAAACCACCCCCCCCTCTCCCGCGGAGATAAACCCCCAAAACATGTTGGTTTTTGGCAAGGCAGCTCCCCCAGGCATCGTTTTAAAGCCGGCTTGGGCAGGTGTCCTGCGACTCGCAACGCGGTCTGTGCAAAGGGATTAGAAAATGAGTAAACTGCCAAAAATACCGCGAACCACCTCGGAGCTGCAGAAACAGGATGTTTTCAGCGACAGAGCCGGGGTGGTTTCAACGCAGCCTGCTTTTAATATCCTCTCTCACAAGCCTGGCAGAAGTTTTCTGGCTCCTGGGGATGCACACTCCCTTTCTCCCTGTCCCTGACATCCCCCCCCCTCCTTCATCCAGTAAAAAGGCACCAAGGCCAAGGTTCGGTTACTCTGGTCTTGGCTTTTTTGCAAGGTCTAGGTTAAATCCCAGCCACCTGCATGCACAGACCTGCACTTCAGCGTTTGAACCCAAATCCCCGCCTGGCCCCAGGCCCAGGCACCCAGCCCTGGGCAGCTCCAGCAGCAGTGGGCGGCCGGGCAGGGCTCATTAGGATGTGGCTAATGAGCCCAGCGATTTCGTGTGGGCATCTGAACCGTGCACACAGCTGGGTGTCTGACCTGCACCCCATCTCCACGCGCATGTTTGCATTGAGGGAGGCCACGTTCCCACCCTTGGCTCTCCTGGATGCCTGGCAGAAGCCTCTAAGGAAAGGAGCACCCTCCCTTTTGAGAGTTGTAGCCCCAAAACTCATGTTCGGAGAGGTGAGAGCAGCAGCCCCGGCCCCACGGCCAGCCCTCGTGTGAGCGCTCCCCGATCAGCTCCAGCGCAAACTCCTCCAGCTCCCCGTCAGCTGGTTCCAAAGTGGGTCTGTGCCTGCAGCCAGCGTCTCCCCGAGGACACGGAGCAAACCTGAGCCACCGAACAGCTGCCAACAACGGGGCCTCATGGCCCTGCGCCTGGGCTAAAGCCCTGAGGCTTGTGCTGGAGCCGAGTGCTGGCTGCTCCCCGCCATCCTCTGCTCCCCATCCTGCCCCAGATCCTTCTCCTGCAGCAGTTTTCCCCACCCAGAGCTTGGTTTCCACCGTTTCCAAAATGCTGGAGGAGATGCCCCAGGTGTAGAATGTTGGGCTCGTATTTAGGCTGAAGGTTCGGGCTGCCCAGACCCGCTGGCATTGCGTGTCCAGTCGCGTGTTGAACCTCATGCTCAGCATCTGCCCAACTTCCCCGTGGAAATAAACCCCAGAAGGGCCAGTGGCAACACCCCGGGTCTCAATCCCTCAGCAGCACTTTCAGCTTGGAGACCAAACTGAGGTGTCCCGCAAGACTTTGTGTGCAGCCTCTTGGTTTTCTGCAGCCACATAACTAGTGCCGCAAAAGTTGGTGAAAACATCCGTAGTCAATGTGCACGCGTCTGCTTGGCTTGTGTCAGCCCTGGCGTGGCCAGCAGGGACAAGGAAGGGATCTGAGCCCTGGGCTCGGCACTGGGGAGGCCGCCCCTCGATTCCTGGGTTCAGTTTTGGGCCCCTCACCCCAAAAAGGCCATTGAATGACTCGAGCGTGGCCAGAGAAGGGAACGGAGCTGGGGCAGGGTCTGGAGCACAGGTCTGCTGGGGAGCGGCTGGGGGAACTGGGGGGGTTCAGTCTGGAGCAGAGGAGGCTGAGGGGAGACCTCCTGGCCCTCGGCAACTCCCTGCCAGGAGGGGGCAGAGAGGGGGGATGAGTCTCTGGAGCCAAGGAGCCAGCGCCAGGCCCCGAGGGAATGGCCTCAAGCTGCCCAGGGCAGGGTCAGGCTGGCTCTGAGGAAGGATTTCTGTGCAGAAGGGGCTGTTGGGCGTTGGAATGGGCTGCCCAGGGCAGGGGGGAGTCCCCGGGATCCCTGGAGGGGTTGAAGAGTCGGGCTGAGCCAGCGCTGAGGGATCTGGGGGAGTTGGGAACGGTCAGGGGGAGGGTCATGGTGGGGCTGGAGGAGCTGCAAGGGCTTTTCCAACCCGGATGGTTCTGGGATTCTGTGGTCACCACAGCTCTACATGAAGCCTGAAAGGGGGGAAGAGAGATTTTGGGTGCACACAAGGGTGCAGGTGCCTGCTCACACTCGTGGGTGCAGGGTTGCAGCCGGGAGCAGGTCACCGCAGCAGTGAGGGTGTGGGGTGCAGGCACACGCTTGTCCACTCTGCAAGACTCCTCCGGGACAAATCCCATGAAAATGATAAGCAGAAGCCCAGGGCACATTCTTCATTCACCCCATCAAGGCCAGATTCCCGCGGCCAGAGCCGGTGGCCTTCCTGGGAGCTGGGAAGAGCTGTCAGTGGTCCCAGTCGTGCAAAAAATACGTGTGAGCGTGGGCACCTGTGTGTGCGGAGCTCCAGAGGTACGTGCACGGGTTGTAACGCAGAGGTGCCGAGAGGGCAGGTGCGTGTATGCACGTGCACACTGTGCTGTGTGCGTCCGCCTGTGCATTTATATAAATCTATGAATATTTAGTAACCTCCGGGCGTTTCTCTCCCTGTGCTTCTCCAACCTTCCTGGAGCGAGCCATTCCACAGCTTACCCCCGTGAAACCCCTCCCTGGGAGGGGGTCCCCTTTGCTGCCTTCCTTCGATGCCCGTGAGCTTTCGAGTGCCTCACACACCCGTGTGCACACGTGTGAGGAGTGACCGTGCACGGGGCTGGTGCAGCATGGCTGTCCATAAGGGCTGGAAGGGATTTTGGGGTAGAACAGCGGGGTTTTTGCAACCCTTTTTCTCCTTGAAACAGGATTGGGGACAGCATCCAGGGAGGCACGTCCCCAGAGCACAGCGGCAGGGAGGAGCTGCTGCTCACGGAGCCTTTTGGGGACCCTTTGCTCCCCCCAGTGCTGCCAGGCGCTACTTTGGGGCTCCGCGGCGGGGATGTGTCTGTGCTGGGGGGGTGCGTGTGCACCTGGGGGTGAATCCGTGCTGTGGGCACGCGGGCGTGCGCCCGCACTCGGTGCATTTCTCTGCATGTGGTTTGCACACGTGTGCGCGCTCCGATCACACACGTGCATGTGTGGGAGGCGGGAGGGCTGCTGGCACACACGCGTGTGCGTGCACGGAGCAGCCCGAGGCTGGAGGTGTTGCTGCCTGGAAGCTTCCCGGTGTGGTTTTGGCTGCGGGATGCTCCGGAGCAGCCTCGGTTGCTCTCGGGATCGGCAGCTGCGGTGCCAGGCTTGGGCAGAGGAGACCCGCGGGGATCCCAGCTGGTTATTGGAAGCGATTTATGGGAATTCGGGGAACTCACAGGCTTTGCAACAAACCGCAGGTGCAAAGGAGGGGAGCTCGCCTGTGCTTGCCAGCCCTCGGCCACCGCAGAGCCTGGGGCCGTGGTTATTTCTCCTTGGGCTGGCAAGGAACAAAAGAAAACCCCAAACCCTTTAGTTTTGTTGCCAGGAGGCCGTGGTTGTCCCTGCACCCATCCCGGGCACCCTGGGTTGAGAAATACTTGATGGAGCAGCTTTGGTCACCCACACAGGAGGCAGCAGCACCCGCCCCTTCGCCATCCCTGTGGCTATTTCTCCCGAGGTCTTTCCTTGCCAGTTGTCCCCTCGCAGGGTGACCTTGGGCACGTCGCTGAGTTGTGACCCCCCGCCCCTTCCCCAGACAACGCTGGTGCCCGCTGGGCGATAACTGGTGACGTTGAGCTGCCCCCCCTGCAGTGATGCAGGTGACAAGCAGGGACGTGACTAAACGATGTCACTGTGCCCCAGAGAGCTCCAAGCTGGCACCCTGCAGCCCGTGAAACTGGGATAGTCCAGCAGCAGGATTAATTAATGAGGGGTAATTAACGGAGGAAAGATGCTTTCGGTGCCTGGAAGTTCAGCTCCTCCTTTACAGCCCCCAGTGACCCTCCCAGAGCCCTCCCTGGTGGGTCCCCCTGGTCGTCACCGTGGGCATCCAGTGCCACCGCTGCGGGTGGCCCCGAGCCCGGGGTGGGGGCTGCAGCCCTTCACGTGTGCACGTCTGCTTTCACCCTCTCCTGCCTCCTGCGATTTTAATTCAAACCAAATGGTTTCGCTCAGTTTCTCCTCTGTGGAAATGAGGGGGTGAGCTGCCAGGCCGGTCCTGCGCCAGCCCGCAGCATCGCGCCAGCCGAAGCCCCACCACAGCTTAAAGCACAATGGAGATTTTTGTTGTTGTTGTTGTTTTTTCAAAAATTCTCATTATTTGTGTGGGTTTGGCTTCCAGTCCTCCACCTCAGGCTGCATTGGAGACCAAGCATCAACGCAAGGCGGAGGGAGAAGATGATACTCCCCTGCCTGGATCGGTGTTTTTGGGCTGCACCAGGGCATGCAGCAGGGTGATGGGGCCTGGGATCGGGCTTTACTGGGTGCTACTGGGCTTGCAGGGCAGCGCGTTGCTGGAACAGTGCTGGAAGCTGCAGAGAACAAGAGATTCCCCCCAAATTTCCAGGTTCCCTCTCTGAACGCCATCTCGGTGCTCTGGGAGGTGGTGCGAGGCCCGGAGGGGTTTGGGGTGGGTGCCACGAGGGATGCAGAGGCCAGGGGGAAGGATGGTCCTGAGCCGGGATGGGATTCCTCCCTCGGGAAAGGCCCTGGCAGCCCCGGGATGCGGGATGTGGTGCTTGGAGGCCGATGGCAAACCGCACCCCGCACCGTGGAGACCTGCCGAGCCAGCCTGATGGTCTTCATTACAGAGCAAGGGGCTGAGCTCAGGTCCAAGATCAGCGGCCAGAAGGGAAACCTGATTGTTAAAATTAAAACCTCAGTGGGGAAAGAAGCAGTTTTGAAGGTCTGTTTTTAGGAAAGGGAAGCGGATGCTGTTAGCAGCCAGTCCTCTGACCAAAGGCAAACACAAGCTGGGCGAAGACACGGGGCAGAGCTTTGTAGAGTCGTGGCCCATCTGGCGAAGCCCAGGGCTGCTGGGAGCCTTTGCTGCCCTTCCCGAGCGAGGTGCCTCCTTCTGCAGCCCTTCCGCAGCCGACTTTCTTCTCCAACCATGGAGAAAACCGAACGGCTGATGGGATGAACGTTTTGGGGTCTGAGGTTGGGCTTCCACCTCCAAGCACCAAGGAGCTTTCCAAGCTGTCCAAGCGTTCCTTGGGAGGAGACAGGGTTGCACCTCTCAGGAGGGTCCCCACCTCCATGGCTGGTTTCTGATGTCCCGCTCCTCTCCACCCCTTGCAGTCTCCAGGCCGCAGACATCCCCTGAAGACCTGAAGGTGCTGATGGGGAACGTCAACCGCCTCAACGAGAGCTTTCGGGACATGCAGCTGAAGCTGCTGCACCTACCTCTGAAGGGGGACGTGCTGGATCACATCTGGAGGCTCCAGGACCTCCTGCAGAACCACTCGGACTCCTTGTTCCTCATGACGGGGTCGCTGCAGAAGCTGGAAGGGCTTCTCTGGAGCCTGCAGACCCAGGCCAGCCAAACCGACAAGGCAGTGGCCAACCTCTGGGACAGCTTGACCCAGCAGAGCGACTCGGCTCAGCAGGAGATGTACAAGCTCTCGGTGGAAGGCAACAGCAGCCGGCTACTGCTGCAGCACCACGACCACCTCCTGAGCCACCTGGGCAGTCGGGTGGAGAGCCTGAGCGACCAGGTGACGACCATGAGTGGGGCTGTGGACACCATGAACAGGACCTTCTCCTACGACGTGAACATCCACCATACCCGCATCCAGGACCTGCAGGTGTTGATCAGCAACGCCACCGAAGACGCCCGGCAGATGCGTCTCATCCACATAGCCATGGAGGAGCAGCTGAAGCACGAGCTGGCCATCCTCAACAACGTGACAGAGGACCTGCGGCTGAAGGACTGGGAGCACTCCATCGCGTTGAAGAACATCTCTGTGATACGGGGTAAGCTGAAAACCTCTTGTAAGCTGTTCCCTCGCTGGTGCGCGAAGCTGTGGTGAGGAGGAGGGTGGCCTTGGTGCTTTGGGTGGTCATGGAAATGGTCCCACAGGCATGGGGATGTCCTGTGGGGATGTCTCAGGGTGTCTCCAGTCCATCAGACACTGCAGTTTAGGTCAAGCGTCTCCATCACCTTGGACTCTGTGCAGTTGGGACCCTCCAAATGCTCCCCCATCCATGTTAGGAAGAAAGCTCCCAAGGTTCCCTCAAAGATGCCAAGAAAAATCTCTTCCAGGTCCCTCTTGGCCACGAACGTGAACCAGACCAAGCGTGGCAGAGACAGTGGGGTTTTTGCCCTGCTTTGTGCAGTGATCAAGCAGAGGGCTGCCCACCAGCACCCTCGGCCTTCCTCAATCACATAATTCTCTCTACCGTACATCCTGCCCTGGTTTCAGCTGGGATAAAGTTATTTTTCTTCCCAGTAGCTGGTACAGTGCTGTGTTTGGATTTAGTATGAGAAAGATGTTGATAACATATGGATGTTTTAGTTGTTGCTAAGTAGCGCTCATCCTAAATTACAGATTTTTTTTCCTCTCCCATCTTCTCTTTTACCACCCTCAGCCCCTCCCAAATAACAGATCGGTTTGGGTGGGAAGGACCTTAAAACCTACCCAGTGCCCTCCCCTGCCCCGGGCAGGGCCACCTTCCCCCAGCCCAGGTTGCCCAAAGCCCCGTCCAACCTGGCCTTGAACCCTTCCAGGGAGGGGGCAGCCACAGCTTCTCTGGGCAGCCTGTGCCAGGGCCTCTCCCCCCTCATCATGGTAAAATAAACAACCCATCCCTACTCACTCTTGACCATCAACTCTAGTTTTGCTGATCCTCTTCTTTTGGTATTTTTGTGGTTGCCTCATTAATCCCTCCCAGTCTGCTAAGCATCTACTCCCTTTTCCTTAGTTATCTGCAAGGTCCAGCCACTTGTCGCGCCGTTATCTCATCACCGTAGCTGCACGGTCAGCGTTAACCATCTGCTTGGACATTTCTTCCTCACTGATATCAAGAATTTCCGGGTGGTTCATATCTTACTGTCTTGCTGCTGTGGGATCACCCGTCTCTCTGCATCCCACAGCACTTGATCTCCTGGGACGTCCCCGCTCCAAGGGGACCAGCTCTGGTGGAGGTGCCCCCACTGGGAAAACCCGTGGGTGCTGTGGTGGATCCCAGTCCGGTGGCCTGATGTGACTGGGGAGCAGCGAGAGGAGGGTCCCTCTGTGCTGCACCAAGGGACTGGTGGCTTTTGCTCCAAAGATCTTAAGAGTCTAAAATAGCGGGAGTGAAGAGAGCTGTGTTCCTTGGGAGCAGCTTGGCTTTACGGGATGGTGGGGAAGGGAAAGGGTCAGGCTTTTCAGGAGCGGGAGCAGCTGAACAGGGCTAGGATGGGAGCCAGCAGAGTCATGAGCATCTTTGTGATTTATGGCATGAGAGTGAGGGGGCACCCGATGAAATGGCCCAGGAGAGGCTCAGGGCAGCCCTTTCCCACATGCCACCTTTTCACCCAGCCAGAGCTCCTTGCCGCAGGACTTTGTGGAGGCAGAAACCCAAGAGACTCCAAAAGGAGCTGGACAAATTCACTCAGGACACATCCTCAGCTGTTAAATGCCGTGACCTGACCACAGGCCTGGAAAACTGGCCACGGGAGGGGAAAAAAAACATTAAGAAACACAGAAGAGCGTAGTGCAAGCTCTTGGGGGGGCAGAGCAAGAGGCTGAGGGGCGGTTGCTGTCCCTCTTCTAGGCTGTTGGCTTGCACCTGCGGAGATACAATGGGCTGTTGCTATTTCTGGTGCTTCCAGTTGAAATAGAGATGGGGAAGGAAGGGGCTGGCTCCAAGGCACTTGCTCCCTCCAGCCATCTGCTGAGCCAGGAGGGGACAAGTCTGAACCACAGCAGCTTCACCTCCCCACCCAGGCCAACCATCGCCCTTGGGTGCCAGCAGCTCGGTGGGGCCATTTCCCTGGTCCTTGGGGGATATTGGCTCCCGATGCTGGGTCCGGGACCACGTTGCACCCACTGCTTTGAGGTTTTCACAGCTGCCCACCCACCCCCAGTGCCCTCTCTTCCCCCCACCGCTGTGGGAAGGACGTCACCTTCTCATGGGCGAAGCCACCAAGGAAGGGGACCGTCACAGAGCCCAACACCCACGTGCATGTAACTCCAATTAACATAAACAGAAAGCAAAACAAATCCCCTCCCAGCGGGCCAGCACCTGATTTATCAGTCGCTGCCCTGACACATTCCTGGCATCTTCAACTTTCCTCTCTCCCCATCCCTCCTCCTTCCCTGCTTTCTATCGGCAGCGATGGGTCATGGATAATTTTAGGAGCCTTGTGCCCAGTTGGTTTTACCCCTGCTCCAAATATCCTTGGATGAATCCACCACCCTCCCTGCTGGATTTGCACCAGCAGAGCCAGTCCTGGGCATCCAGAGTCCCTGGGCTCTGACTTCTGAGGCTGTTTGCTGGTGATGGCAGCTTGGGGAGGTCTCCAGGCTCCTCTCCACGCCAGGCAGCTCACGTGTCTCAGAGAGGGCTTGGCTTCACGGCACAGAGGGGCTCTGGGTCTTAAATAACGGTGTTACCAGGAGGGAGGATGCCCGGGATGGATCCGCTTGCACAGCTCACTGGGTGGGATGTGCTGGCTCGCGGCAGGTCTGGCAGGGTGATTGCGGTGGTCCCGTCTGGCCAGATCTGTGCACATCAGGGAAGGCCTTATCCCGATGGTTTGGGAGGGTTTTTCTCCTCCGCTGGTGCAGAGAGCAGCCCGGCCTTGTGCAGGCAGGAGGGTGAAGCAGGGGTGCATCTGGGCTGGGGTTTTCTTTCCTGAGTGCAAACCCCAAACAGGGTGGGGACCAGCTTGGCACAGTGTCTGCAGAGCTGCTCAGCCTCTCCCAACTGCCCCTCCCAGCTCTCCTTCATCCTCCACCCCAGCTGCTCCCTGTGTCCCATCCCACCAAGCTGTCCCTGGGGACGAGACCATTCTCTGCTCATGGAGCTGCCTGGATGTAGCCGAGGGGAGATGTTCTGGTGGCTGATGGGCCACAGGACTCACTACCGTGGGAATAGCCCTGAAGGATGAAAGCCAAAACCTAGGAGCCAGCAAACAGGATCAGCCTGAGGATCTGCCCATCCCCAAGCCCTGGTTCTAATCCCAGGCATTAGGGAAAGGGATTAAGGGACAATGTGTCTCCTCTCTGGCTGTGTTCTCCGAGTGTCCAGATCTTACAGAGCAGATGAGATTGGCTGTTGCCCATGGTCATCCTCCATGAAACTTAGTTCCCGTCTTAGCCTGTCCATGTCCTCGACCTCCCTGATGTCCCGTGGGATGGTTTTCTGAGATGGGAGATAGATGAGATGAGATGAGATGAGATGAGATGAGATGAGATGAGATGAGATGAGATGAGATGAGATGATAGAAGATGACTTTGGGGGGCTGCACTGTAGCAGCTGATTTTAAGGAGGAAGGGCAACTCCCACCCCATCCCACCAAGAGGTGCCCTGAGCAGGCAGCTCCCATGTCCCTTCCAGGGTTAAGAGAGCTGAGGTGAGGCCCTTGTGTGGATTATTTCCCAGTGTGCCCAGAAAAGCAGAGCAGATGGAAGCTGTGGGAGCTGCCCCCACACAGGAGACCCCAGCCGAGCTGTATTGGAGCTGGTGAGGGGAAAGCAAGACGTTTTGTGTCAGCAGTTTTGCTCCAGTTGGTGTGGGACCCCTGCCCTTCGGAGAGGATGCTTGGGGCAGAGTCAGGGTGACAAAACAGAGACCTTTCCTTGGTGGCTGCCACTGCAGATGTTTCCAGGATTGCTTTGAGTTTTGCTCGTGCTGGGAAAGCATCTGTTTTGTTTAAGCAAGTGGTTTTCAGCAGCCCAACCTTTGCTGGGCTGGGGTGCAGCAGGGGAGGGAAGAACTTGACCCAAACCCAGGAGCATGGCTGGGTCATGCAGAGTTTCCACTGCTCATCCTGGGACACCTGGGACATTTGGGCAGGAGATACACCTGTAGAAAAACCCCTTTGCCTTGACGCTCCCCTTGCTACCCATCGAACTCACCGTCACCTCTGTAAAGCCAAGGATGTCTGGCAGGCTCTGCTTTCTGTAGTGCCCTGTAGGCTGAATTTGAGGGTATCGACATATTTCAATTCTTTACTTCTACATTCTCCATTACTTCTTTATTTCGGAAGGGGTTGGGTGATATGGGGCAGCCTAAACGCATACCCACATGAGTCCACTTCAACAATCTGGCATGACTTGACCTCCCTCTTGCTCTTTTGGGGCACTGAAAATCAACGACTGTACTAAAGAGCATCTATTTATGAAACCAGGTGCTTCCTATTACTTCTTTATTTGCCCACTTATTCAGTTTTTCAAACTCCAGCAGGCAAATCAGTGGATTTAAGAACATGTAGTTTTATGCTGAGGGGGGTGAGGCCCTGGCACAGGCTGCCCAGAGAAGCTGTGGCTGCCCCCTCCCTGGAAGGGCTCAAGGCCAGGTTGGACGGGGCTTTGGGCAACCTGGGCTGGGGGAAGGTGGCCCTGCCCGGGGCAGGGGGGGGCACTGCGGGGGCTTTAAGGTCCCTTCCCACCCAAACCGATCTGTGATTCTATGATTTAATGGCTGTTGTGTAGTCGTGTAACGCCCTCCTTTAATGCAATGGGAAGGAAAACTGTTTCCCCAGCCAGCCCAGCACCTTCGTACAGCACATCCCTCGCCTGGCTCCTGCCCCGCGTCCCCCTCTGAAGCAGCTCTTGAATATCACTGGACCTCCTCCACCACAGATAACTCTGCCTCTAGCTGGGCAGGCAGCATTCCTGTTGCTCGTGGTTCCTCTTGTTCCCACCCAAAAATGCCTCCTCGTTGTCCTCGGCTCTCCCGGGTGTCCATTGTTCTTTGCATCCTTTCATTTTGCCGGCTGAGAACAGGAGACGTGTCCCCGGGGGCTCGGGTCCATGCCCACGTCCTCTCAGTGCTCGGAGATGTGCGTCACGCAGGGAGGAGGGAACCCAGGGCAAGTTAATGCAGTATCCCCCCGTAGCCCTCTCCCAGCCCCTGACCGTCTCCAGTTTGGGACGTTTCCTGAGCTCTCTGCGGTTCATCTGCTCAGGAACCCCCTAATTTCTGCATAATATTTGCAGATCCTAATTACTCATTCATTAGGACTGCTAAACATCCCCCCCTCTTCCTCTCGTGATCCTTTTGCACTACCACGTTGCCTGTAGCCCTGACTGGTTGGTTGCTTTCTGCACAACTGTGAGATTATGGCTTTTGGGGTTTCTAGGAAAACAGTGTTTAACAGTTTCTAATTATCGCCCCGGCTTGGTAGGACAAAGACTAAATGACCCCTCCAGGCCTCTCTCTGCCCTATTTTCTATCATCCCACGAGTCCTTTTTTTCTTTTTTTTTTTTCTGTTCAAATTCTTTCTTCCAATTGATTTAGCTCATAATTGTTTTCAGCTTTGCAGACTTGGCCCTTTGCAGGCTGAGGACTATAACTATTATTGGGTTGGACTTTCTGCTCGCTTGCAAGAGTTTACACCAAAAAGCAATCACCGGTGGCCAGGCCCTGATGAGATCAGTGATGCAAATCCTCTCCTAAAGGTTCATCTCAATAGTTTCAAAATGCTTTTTTTTTTTTTTTTTTTTTTGGAGACGTCACAACTTTTGGTCGTAGGGTCTTAGAGTCACGCTCAAGGTGGAACTGCGGGAGCTGCAAGGTGAAGTTTTCTGGCACTTGGGTTGATGGAGTCGTGTTTGGCCTTTAAAATCCACGGATGGTGGAAGAAGGCTGCTGGCAAGCTCTCCTGCTGTCGCTCTGCTCCTGTCTGCAGGGGTCCGTGTTTATTAGAGGCCCCTGGACACCTGATAAACCATAGTGGCTGGTGAAGGGTGGGTGAGTGCACGCACACGTTCATCTGCTGCGCGACTGCAGAGCTGGGGCGCGGTGCCCGCACTCCAATACCCGTTGTGTTTCAGGGCCGCCGGGACCCAAAGGAGACCCAGGCAATGAAGGGATGGAGGGTGAACCTGGTCTTCCCGGCCTGCCTGGGCTGCGAGGTAAGGAACATCACATCCAGGGTGCCCACAACCCTGCGACCTTCACCCAAAGTCCGTAGAGTCAATGGGGAACCTCCCGGTTACATCCCAGGCTGTCCTGTGGGACCTCGCTGGCTTTGCACAAGTCTTGAGGAACAACGGGATTAACCTGCTGCCCCTTCTCCTGCCAGGCTGCCAGTCTGTAGGGGCAAAAAGTCTTTCTCATCTCCCAGCTGGCCCCGGGACAGCGAGAGCTGCAGGGTCCAGCGCCTGCAGGTTGGTGGCCCCAGGTTCCTCTGACACAGCCACCCAGCCCAGGTTTGTGCAGGGGGTGGCCCCCACCCCGTGCTCACTAAAACCAAACCTTTACAAGGCACCCGGGCTGCCCCCTGCTCCTGCCTGCTCCCCCCCCCATCAGCACACAGGGACCCAGTGTGGGGTCCCTCCAGCCTGGCAGAGGGGACTTGGCCACTGGCTGCAGCTCTGAGGATTTTCGTAGGACATTTTTTTTCAATGTCAAGAAAGCCAATTTTTTTTCCCTCCTTAATTCCAACCATTGTTTTGGAGAGGAATTCAATTAAAACACCAACAGAAGACACCCCCCACCCCGAGAAATGGGACTTGGCTTAAGCCTGTTTCTAATTTTAAGCCAAACCTAGAAATACTGGCTTTGCACCCAAGAGCCGGGGATGGCACAGAGGTGATAGAGGATCCCCTTTGGTGAGGACTTTCTGTCCCCAAGAGGCTCTTTCCCATTAGATGTGACAGGATCCGCCCTCCCTGGGGCATGGACCTCCTTCTCCACCCCAGAGGACATCCAGCCCTGGCCTCACCTTCACTGCTGAAGACATGACCCACGTAGGGCCGTCAGTGTCAAAGCCAGGTTCAGCGCCCCAGCCCCCTGCCTCTGAGCTGCCGGTACTGAGCTGGGCTTAAAACCTCGGATTTTGGTACCCTAATTCCCACTGCTCCACGACGGGCGGCAGGACCAGCCAAGTTAGGCAGAGCCAGCCTGGAAACCCGATCACTCCCTGAAAGCCCTTCTCAGCGCTGGCTGCCCGTGCTCCTTTCACCGACAGCTATATTTTTTTGCGTTGACAGATTCATGGCTGTTTTTCTTGGGTGTAACAAGCATCAGAAATATATCATTCTGGCTTCTTTCCTTTTTTTTTTTTTAAACAGAAAAACAAAACAATCTTTGGAGGGTTCACCTTCGGGAAGAGTTGCTGAAAAGGCCACTATTTTTAGGTCTTTCTCTGTCTCGATTTCTCCGGTGCTTTTCTGGATGCAGTCACAGCATCAGGTCTTTGGGTGTGGGGAGCTCAGGTTCAGGTGCAGCCAGGCGTTGTAAAGTGGATCTTCCACCCCGCCTCTGCCCCAGCTCCTCTACCCAAATCCCTAGCCAGGTCCTGACATGCTGCAGCATCCCCCCTGGGAGGGAGCTGAGGTGTTGGCTGGACACAGCAGGAATAGAGTTAAACCCCAGCTCATGTCCACTGGAGCTGATGCCTAAATTCCTCCTGGCAGCTTTTTTTTTCCTCTTAAACCAGAGGAAAATATTGACTAAGTTTGGAAAAGCCCAGCCCAGGAGTGGTGGAAGGCGCAGTGCCCGCGGAATCCCTTCAGACCACCCCCAGGCCCCACCAGAGCCCATCACCAGCCCAGGGGTCCCTCCCTCCTTCCCCTTCCCCTTGATGGCCCATGTGGATGGAGGTCACCTCCAGGGCTTGAATGTGTCCCCTACGAAGGGACCCCCAAACTACAGCCCCCACTTCCCACCTCCCAAAAGTCGAGGGTGCTCAGATAAGAGGGTTTAATCCAACCCCTTCTCCAATAAATAGCAAACCCACTTGGTCGGTGTGCATGGATGCAAGGGACCTGCAGCTCATGCGGGGCACATCATGTCTCCTTGGGGTCTCTGCTCCATGTTCTTCCTCCTTGGTCTCCAGCTTTGGAACCCAGTTACCTTAATCTGAGCCTTAGGATGCTCAGAGCTGCATTAGCACCAGCCTGTCTCTGGGTTAAATCTATTCTGTATCCAGGGGCAGGTGCAGAAAGAGAGGATGGGCTGGACTCTCCGGTGTCTCCTGATGGTCCCCAACTCCTGGCAAAGAACCAGAGACCACCTGGCACGTCTGCTAGCAAGCAGGACCCGTGCATGTGTGTGTGTGCACATCTGGTTTGTGTAGGTCTCTGCTGAAACTGGGTCATTTTGTGGTTTTGTCCTTGCTTCAGGGCTACCTGGGGAGAGAGGACCACCAGGACCACGTGGCTTGAAAGGGGACCAAGGAGACCTTGGCCCTCCAGGTCCAGTGGGGATGCGAGGATTCAAAGGTAAGGACCAGCCTCTGTGCGTGCTCCCGGGTGGGTCATGGGGTCTGACTGGGCTTGTTGGGCAGCAAACTGGCTCTGGAGACCACTGGGGTGAGGGGCAGAGACACTGGTCATGAGTGGGAGAGCGGTGGGTCCTCTGGCTTGGGACCTCCCTGGGGCTCCCTGGAGGGGAGAGGAAATCTTGTGGAGCTGGGAGTGTGCACATGAACAACCTTTCCACCAAAGTGGAGACAGTCCAGGGACTGGAAAGAGAAGGGCACAACAATTGGGTTTGTGATGTTCCTGCCATGCAACGGGTCTCAGCGCAGGCAGGCAGGCAGCGCTGCCTGCACCAGTCCCTCACCAGAGCCCCGTGAGGACCTACCGGACTGCCCTCCCACGCTTGGCTCCGGCAGGGTTTTAGGAATAGCCTAAAAGTGTTTGTTTTCTGATGACCTTTTCTGGCTCGCTGTGGTTTGGCAGCATCTCACCACACCCTGGCTACGAGCAGGGAGAAGCTGTGGGTGTAGGAAGTGGCCATGCACCTATTTAGCAGGACAGATCTATCCCAGGAGACCTTTTATAAGAAGTTCCATGCCGCAACCTAAAACAGGATGGATGATCCCAAAACATGCTCTTTCTGCCTCGAAATGCTTTGTGGGCAGGGGGAGGCAGGAAGGGCCCAGCCCAAGGAAGGGACACCACCCCAGACAGAGCTGCCCTGCCTGCAGCCTGGTCACCGGTGGCTGAAGCGGTGGATTCCCCTCGTCTCATGCTTGTGGGTGACGTTGACCTGGGATGTGGCCACAGTGGCTACCAGGACCTGGGGCCATGGCCACAGACCAGGGACTGGGTCTGGAAAATGCCCAGAGCCCAGCAGGCAAGCTCTCCAGGCAGGAAGGGGGTTGCTGTCCCTTCTTCCAGAGGCCCCGTGCGTTGTTAGTCTTGCGAGCTCTCGCTTTCGTGCAGTGAGCTCCCCGGGTGAATTGCAGGCGGGAAAACTGAAGGAAAATGTCCTCTTTAAATGTCTTCTCTCTCCTCTACCTGCAAACTTGGCCTCAAGCCATGAGCTGGCCAGAGTTGGCATCCAGTTTTCCTGTATGTCCTCCAAAGCGCTGATCGCCAGAAGCAGGGGTTGGGGTGAGACCCCCGTGTCATGTCTGGTGGCCCGTTCTTCATGTGCAGTAGCCACAGCAGTGGCCACCTCCTGTCCCTTGCATTCCACCAGAAAGCCTCTTGCAGTCTAGGGGCAGGAGCACGTCTTCCATCCCTTCTCCGCTTCGTGGTGTCTTTAGAAGAATCTTTCCTAGGGGCACGCTGTCCACCTCCCAGTGCATCCCAGTGCAGCTCCAGAAAGCTTTAGGTCTGGGTAGAATGGAGATGCAGGAGATAAGATGCTGCCCATGGGCTTCTGAAGCTCCCAGAGCTGCAGCCCAAGGCAAGAAGGTCTCCTGCAGGATCAGCACCCGTCTGGTCCTCTTTCCCTGGAGCCATCGCTGCTGTGATCACCCTCCCTACTGACACGATGGCTCTGAACATCCCACCGCTCTCCCAGTCACCCCAGTCCGGGCACTTCCTGGGTCCCATTAGCTCCTGGACATGGCTCTCCGTGCCACATGGCTGGTTGGATGATATTAATGCAGCACCTTGTTGTCTTCAAGAACTCTGCTGGGTGCTATTTCCATCGCCCCATCTCATCTAACTGGAAGCCCAGGGTCTCTGGGCTGCTGTGGCTGGGACAACTCTCCATCCTCCCACCGAGGCAGTGGGGCACAGAGCCCTGCGTGCTGCAAGAATAAAGAAACCAGCATTTCACGCTTGTTTTCCAGCGCTATCTTTTGGGTTTTTTGGAGGTAACTCCGGCCTGCAGGATTGCAATGTCTTCTTGGGGGGGTGCAGGACTTTATCGGAGCGGCGGGGTGAAAACGCCTGGTCTGATGCTGCAGGAAGTCAAACTAACCCCTGGGTACGTCCCTGGCACAAGCCTCGCAAAGGCCTGAGAGCCGCAGGGACGGGTGCTAACACAAAAGAGACAGCGGCGCCGAGATGTTCCTGGCAGCACATCAAACGCCGAGGTCCGCCAACCAAAGCCACAACACGCTTCGGGACCGTGGTTTCCTTTCCTTCCCCGGAGCAGAGGAAAGTGGGCTTTTCTCACTGGCCGGTGCCAAGCACTCGTTAGATGAACAAATTATCCCAAGGAGCCTGGGCCAGTTGAATTGGGCTTCAGTGGAGGACCAAGCCTTGATGCCAGATCTGTTCTGCAGAGCGCATCCCCAGGGGACGTGTCCCTTCTGGAGGTGGGAGGGGGGTTGATGGGCTCCTGCGTCACGTTTCCGCCCCTAAGGCAGCGATGTTTAACAGCTGCTGTGCTGGGTCAGTGCTGAGATGTGATAACAGACCCCGTGGTGGGCATCACCGCGCCAGCGTGGCGCTCTCTGGAGACACGACGAAGCCTTTCTCCGGTGCTCAACACGCAGGAGGTGGTGGAGACCACCCCCAGCACAGCCCCTGCCTTCAGGGGAGGGCTATGGCCACACCACAGCAGTAGAGCATCAACTTCCACAAGCCTGGGGACCCTTCCCCAGAGCTGGTCTGCACCTCAAGCCCCCTGGCCCAGGGAGATGAGGCACTTCGGCTCTTGGGTTTGGGAGGCCACGGGTCGGACGGCATGCCAAGGGGGCAGCAGATCTGTGCGCTGCTTCTAGCTGTCATCTTTTCACTGGTGTGGAGTAATCCCTGTATCTGGGGAGGCCTCTTGGCTTGAAGGTTAAGATGTCTCCAGGGCTCTACCAGCCAAGGCCTTGAGGGACGCCCTTCCTTGTGTGTTTCTTGGAGGCATCCTTGGTTTGGGGTGAGGATGACTCCATGGCAGAAAAGCCATCAGGTGTTTCCCCCAGGGGGATGGACCAGCCCCAGGCCCCACCAGAGCCCATCACCAGCCCAGGGGTCCCTCCCTCCCCCTCCCCTTGATGGCCCACGTGGATGGGGGTCACCTCCAGGGCTTGGATGTGTCCCCTACGAAGGGACCCCCAAACTACAGCCCCCACTTCCCACCTCCTAAAGGTCAAGGGTGCTCAAATAAGGGGTTTTAATCCAACCCCTTCTCCAATAAGTAACAAACCATGCTGGCAGCAAGCACTGAATTTCTACAGTTTATGGGATTCTCTGAAATTTATAGGAAACAGGCACCAAGCCAGGCAACGATCCAAACCCAGGCTTTAAGTAAAGGCCTGTTTTTCTGCAGCACTAGTCTTACACGTCTATAATGACTTTCTTCTGAGCACAGGAGAGCTATCTGTTCCCCAGGAAATGCGGCCTGTCCCAGGGCAGGGGGCATCTGGGATGGATGAGCCTCCTCTCCCAAAATCCCAGGTCAAACCATCTCACAGAGCTGGTCTGACCTGGTCGGGGGACAGCTCCTCTCCACAACAGAGTCCCGAGTGTTTTCCCTTGTTGGTATTTTCCTATCCTTGATACATTTTCCCTCAAAATTACCCCAGTGGAGTATTATTTTCCTTGCTTCCAAATGGAGAAAATTATTCTGGAAAGTGAGTGTACATCAGTCTTCTTCACTCTTCCATGGAGAACATCACACAGGAACACGTTCAGGAGGAAACAACAGTAAATAAGCCAAGGCAGTGGTCAATAATTTATAGATAAATTCAAGGCAATGAGAGAAGTCCCCTTCCTGAGCACCACATGCAGGCAAGGAGGAGGTTTCTGGCATGTTGCTGAAGGCAGGAGATGTTTCTGCCTGTGAAGATGGGGGTTTGGCAGCTTCTCCTGGGGCTTGCTCCATGGTGGTCCACCTCACCTCACCCTGCAGAGCCAGGAGCTCTTTCCACGCTCCTCCAGTGATGTTCTCTCCCACGAGCTTTGCGGGTTTTGTGCCCTGCCTCTCTCAGCAGCGCTGATTTTTAGAGCGGAGGTGATGCCCAGGAGCAGGACATCGGTGGGGACCAAGCCTCTGCCACGGGAGGAACTGAGGGTCACTCGCCATGGCACCTGTGCCAAAATTGTGTGCACAGTCCAGAAAAACCCAACCTGAGCTGCACTGATGCACTCGCAGTGGGAAAGAGCCGAGCAAGACCTTGATGCTCCTTGGGTGAAGGCACCAGGCAGGACCTCCTGGTAGGACCGGCGGTGCTGCCAGCAAGGGGCAATCCTGAACTCGAGGGCTCTGTCCCAGCACCATGGACCTCTCCTTGCTTCATCCCCAACCAGGGATGTTCTCCAGCCCTGACGCCTCGGGGAGCTGGGCTTGACCCCAGGGTGAAGTCAGCAAGCCGTGCCACCGAAGGGGTTGTCCTTTGCTCACCAGAGAGCTTCAGTGGAGAAAAGAGAGATGGGAAGAAGAAGGGAAAAGGGGACAAGAAGGAGACAAGCCTTCCAGGAGAGCAAGGAAATGAAGGAGCACTGCACGGGAAAAGCCAAGGTGGATGGGAAAGGATAAGGCAGAGGGGATGTGTTTTAAAGCACCCTTGCGAATCTGTTGGCATCGTCCGTAAAGTGCTTCTCTCTTTTAAAGGGTTTTTCCTCTGCCAGATGTATATGAAGCTTAAAAAAAACAACTCAGATTAAGCCTAATGCAGTAGCCCAGGTTGGGGATGGGGAGGAGAAGGGTAAGCTTTTGGTTAAACCCACTAACCCGTCCCAAAGCAGCGTCGGCTCCGTCGAGGGGCTCTTCCCCCCCCGCGTTTGGGATGGGCCCAGCACAGACCCCATTGCACCAGCTCCTCCTTCCCCATCTGTAACCAGTTCCCGCTCCTCAAGAGCCCCTGGAGCCCTTTTCAGCAGCTCAGCATCCTTAAGCTGAGCCCTTCTGCTGTTTTTTGGAGACCTGGGCGCAATCCGCTGGCTAAGGACACCCACGTCAGGGCTCACAGGTGAGCAGCAGCCGGCCCTGAAGCCGTTCTGCTGGGCAGGGCCACCTTCCACTAGCCCAGGTTGCCCGAAGCCCCGTCCAACCCCGCCTTGAATATTTCCAGGAAAGGGGCATCTACCATCTCTCTGGGCAACCTGTTCCTCTCGCAGAGGTGCAGTACAGTTTTCATTTGTGCCAATTTTTTTTCCCTTGGTCTTTTTCTTAAGGGTTTCTAACGATTTCTGATGGTTGAGGTCTCCCATCATTAGAGTATTTCCTTCCCCTGCAGCATATGGGCGTTGGAATGGGCTGCCCAGGGCAGGGGGGAGTCCCCGGGATCCCTGGAGGGGTTGAAGAGTCGGGCTGAGCCAGAGCTGAGGGATCTGGGGGAGTTGGGAACGGTCAGGGGGAGGGTCATGGTGGGGCTGGAGGAGCTGCAAGGGCTTTTCCAACCCGGATGATTCTGGGATTCTGTCATCTCTGATGTCCCCGACTTGGCCCAGTTGCTGTCACCTCCCTGAGACCAACAACGACACAGCAGTTGGGTTATTTACTCCGGGGGTTTCAGCCCACAGCAGCTGATATAATCCTGTCCCTCAAGCTCCACCTTGTCCCTCTCTCCATCATTCCTATAGGATGCTCCATAGGATGCAGCCCGGACCCTGCTGGGAAAACACTTCTGCTCCAGAAGAGCCGGATTTTTGAGGACAAACACCTAAGAACCATAACTGTTGCTTTCCAACCCCCTTTCCTCTGGGCTGGGGAGGGAAGGTGGTGGAGAACACGGCCTGCTCCAGCCTCCCCGCACCATCACGTGCGGGCGAGCAGCGTCTCTGGCCTCTCTCCCGCTGCTCGGGGGGATGCTGTCATCTGGTTCCCATCAGCGGGGCAGGCTGCCGGCAGCTTTCCTCCATCTGACACAGCTGCGGCTGCCCGGGGGAGCAATCTCCTCTTCCCTCCAAGTTAAAGGGCAAGAATTTCCTGCCCGCTTTTTAAAAAAATTATTTATTATTATTTTTAATTTTTTTTAATAAGAAATTTCTGCGTGTGTGTTGTTTGTTGTTCTTACACGGAGACAAAAGAGGAGGATATGTTGAAGCGGGGCCACACCGCAGGGCTGGGGCTCACCCCGAGCATCTCGCTGGCCGGAGCAACCCCAGCCCTTTTCCCTCTGCAGCCTCTACGCAAAGCCAGGACCAGCAAAGCCAAGCTCACAGCCTCACTCAGGACAGTGTTTTCAGTGGTGCACAACAGGAAAACACGGCTGCTGCCTGCCAGGAGCAAAACTGGAGCACGGGCAGGGGTTAAGGGAGGTGGTGGGGTGCGGGCAGAGGCAGCCTGTGCGGGGACAGCCAAGCCATGACACAGATAATTAGGGAGTTCGTTATTTGTATCCGGAAATCAGCATGGTTTTTGAAGGCCGCCTGTTTACCCAGCTGCTCTGAACCCCGCAGCATCGTCGCTTCTCGACGGAGACAAGGGTTGGGTTCAGCAAATCTGCTGGCGAGGAGGCACCAGCTGGGTGCAGGAAGGGTCGATGCTCTGTCGAGGCTGTGGGAAGCGGCTTCCCTGGCGCTGACCCCTGCAAAATGGAGCATTTTTAGCCCCAAAGAGGGATTTTCAGCCCCAAATTCAGGGTTTGCTTGCCTTTATTCCTGCTTTGCTGTTGCCTCGCAGCCAGGGCTTGGCTGGTTCGAGGTGGGGGTTAACACAGGGAGTGGATGGTTCAAGGGACCACCAGCCTCCTGTCCTTCCTCTGCTATGGGACAGGCACCCCAGGAGGATTTTTGTTTGTTTTTTTTTCCATCCTCCCATCTTTCCCCTGCACCCGGAGAGGGGAGTATTGCACAGCCCCAACCCACACAGACACACCAAGGGGTTACCCAGGGCACCCCACCCTGCTCCAGATGCAGCGGGAAAGAGCCATTTTGGGCATGACATACAAACACACAGAGCCCGGGGAGCGCCACATGGGATAAACCCTGCAAGAAGCCGTGTTTTCCCAGGGCTGCTTTGTTTTTCCGTTGAAAAGAAGGATCCTGGGTTAGGCCAGGGAGTGAGAAGGTGGGTCCCATCACCATGCAGCATGGCCAGGGGGTTTGCGAGATGGGTTGACAAATCATTTGCTGTGTTGTGCCTCAGTTTCCCCAAACTGATTAAGCCGTCCAAGAGCTACAGACACACAATGTTCCCTACGAGTGGGATATCCATTAAAAAAACTGATTTTAGCAAGATTTATGCCCTGTGCTCTTTCTTTTCCCAGGTGACCGAGGCCCGAAGGGAGAGAAGGGAGACCGAGGTGGCAGCACAGGTAAGTGCTCGCTCGTGGTTTTTCTCCCTGGTGCTCTGAGCCTGGTTTGGGTGGTGTTTGGCGTGTTAGGCGCATGCAGGGTAAATTTCTGCTGCAAATCAGGCAGGAAAACAGCTGCTGGGACAAGGCTGCTGCGCCCCGTGCTTGGGTTTTCCTTCCAAGGAGGAGCCGGAGCGGCGGGGAGGTGGGAGAGGTGTCGGCAAGGCCTGAGGATGCTGGAGGAAAGTGGTTGTGATGTTAAGGCAAAGCCAAGCAGGGGGAAGCATCTTGATTTTCAGCCCCAGGAGCCCTCGGTGTGCCGAGCCCCCGGTCAGGCTGCTGAGGCAGGATTGAGGGTGCCCAAAGCCAGTTAGGACTATTCTGCTCCCCACTTCTTCCCAGCAAACAAACAGGATGAAGCTCGGGGCTGAGCTCGCCCGCCCGCGCAGGCGTTTTGCCAACAAACAGCATCATCGCTAACCCGGAGCCAGCCCGGAGATGGCAGCGAGGGGAACGAGGGGCTGGAAGGAAGGACACATCTTTTCCCATGGCAGGATTGGCCCGAGGAGGCATTTTTCCAGGGTTTAAAGATGGAAAAACCCCCGTTTGGATGGAGGTACCTGGGCCACGCCGTGCTGCTGACCGCCGCCGTGCCCAGCAGCGCTGCCCTTGCTTTGGGGTTCCCTCAGGGGCCAAGTCCAGCGCGTTTCCACCGATCCCCAGAGTCGGGTGCTGGACTGGCAAGCCAAGAAATGCCAGGGAACAAGCCTAGGGCCAGATCCTGCCCACCCTCTGCTGCGCTATGGCTCTGCCCTGCAGGGTTCTCGTCCTGGAGATCCCTGGAGATGCTGATGGTTTCCTCCAAGCTTTGGACATTCCTCCTGCCTCTCCAGGGACATCCCTTCTTGGGGACATCCCTCCTTGAGGACACCCTTCCTGCCACCCCTGGGACATCCCTCCTTAGGGACATCCCTCCTTAGGGACATCTCTCCTTGGGACATGTCTCCTGCCACCCCTGGGACATCCCTCCTTGGGACATCCCTCCTACCTCCTTGGGGACATCTCTCCTTGGGGACATCCCTCCTGCCTCCTTGGGGACACCCGTCCTGCCTCAGGTGCCCACACAGGGACTCCAGGTCCTGGCCACCAGCCGCCGTGCCACCCAAACGGTGCCAAGTGAGAGCGAGGACATGGCAGGGTTAGACGGGGAGCAGCAGTGGAGGCAGCTGGGGAACTGGGAGCACCACGGTGGGACGTACCAGTGACCCAGCCCCCTCCAGCCACTCTTTGGTGGGTGACCACAGCTGATTTCCATCTGTACAGTGTAAATGACGGGTTATATCACTATTTAATTTCCTGGGGTAGATGTGCCCCATGGAAATGGGATGTTTGCACCCGTATTCCCAAACCAAAGGGACCAGAGCTGAGCAGGGGCAGCAGGAGAAAGCGGTGAGGAGCCCAGGGAACTGGGGGCAGATGGTCTCTGTTATCAGGGGGGAGATGATATCTCAGCCCAGCTGCAAAGAATCAGGCCCTTGTTTTCTCCGCCACCGGGAGCTATTTCTCATCTTGAGCTTCTCCTTCCTTGTTTTGCTGCTTTTGGGGGCTGGGTAGTGGGGAAGGTCGAGGGGTTTGGAGGCAATTGCTGCAGCAAAACAAATGCACACACAGAGGATGATGCTTTCAGGGTTTATTGGGTATGGTGGAGAGGGAAGGGGCCAGGGAGCTGCTCCAAGACGGATGGGGCCAGGCCACTTTGCAGGCAGGGGCTTGCTGCAGGCAGAGAGCACGGCCGGGGTGCTCCTGTGCTGCTTTGGAGCTGCAGCCCAGGAGAGCCTGATCCTGGGCAAGCTTCTGCAGCAGAGCGAGGTGGACAACCTGCTTTGGTCCCTTGTGCATCTTCTGCTGGTTCCATCATCTCACTGGGGCCCGGCCCTGGGTGCAGTCCCCAGGATTCACGGGCACTGAAACAGCCCTGGGCTGGGCTGCGAGGCCATTATGGGCAGCTGGCACTGGTTTGGGAGGAGACTTCTGGGTTTTATTAGCTTTTATTAGTCCTCTAAGCAATGCTTGTCAGAGGCTAAGTGGAAGGGTTCTGGCCAGGACTCATGTGGCTGAGCTCTGCAGCTTTATTAGCAGCCCTCACCCTGCTGATTAATAGGAACATCCCAGTTGTGCTTGGATCTGTGCCCTGATTGCACATCTCTTCCCCTCCTTGGGGAAGCAGTTGCCGTCTTCCAGCACGCAAAGGCTCTGATGAGCATCCAGCGAAGAGCCGGGGTGAGGACAGACTCACGAGGGGAGGAATGAGGACTTTGGGATGAGCAGCTGGCTTGAATTGGAGGTATGGAGCTGGTCCTGGACAGGGTGAGAAACCAGCTGATGTTAGATATAAGGAGCTAGTCCTGGACTGTCAGGCACCTGCCTGTTCTCCTGGGAATGTGGGCGGCTTTGGAGGCAGGGCTGGATGGTTTCACAGAGGGGATTATGCTCCGTAAAAGCAGGGTGCTCTACACCCCATTTAGTTATTGCTTTTCCATCACAGAGATATTTCCTGGCTCCTCCGTGACCCCGGTGCTCTGCCCAGATCCAGGAAAACATGCTCAGGGTTTCCAGACCCCTTCTTGGGCCTGACCCTGAGTGGGTCCTGGAAGTGGGAGATGGGCCATTGCCGAGGCCAAGCAAGGACAGTGCTTTCTGGAGGTCACTGGAAGAGGTGGCTGTGTTCCTGCTGGGAGCAAGCCAGGGAAAACCCAGAGCCTAAAACATGGAAAAAAACCCCAATTTTATGCAGGTCCCAGCCAGCCGGCAGTGCCAAAACCCATCGAATCTCTGTGCAGCAGGTCCCAAACGCTGCTCCAGTTTCTAAATGTCCCGTTAACCCTGCGCCTCCCAGCCCTGAGGGCCCGGGGCTGGCTGGGACCCTGCTTCACCCACCTTGGCCAACCTCATGGTCACCAGCTTGGTTGGCCAAGGTGCCTAAAGAGAGCTCAGCCGAGCACGGCTGCCCATGCCATCCCACCACCACGAAGCTAAAGGAGATGTTGGAGCCATGTCAGGTTTTATCAGCTCTTTGCAGCCCCCTCGGCACTGGTCACCTCTTGGCACGGAGACCTTTCAGCTTCACCACTTGAGGAGTTGCCATGAGCCACGTACCAGCAAAATCACAGCAGACAAGAAGGTTTTGTTGCCTTTTGCATTGCTGGGACTTCGGTGGTGGCTGTGGTTGAGGGGGTTTGGGGGGCCGTGGAAGCAGACTGTAGCCCCCCAACCCCTTCTCCACCAGGGACCAGCCTTGGGCATAGAGGATCAGCTGGAGACTTGATGATGGTCAGCACAGAGGAGACTTCGGTCTGCCTGGAGATGCCTCACGTGGCAACCCAAGCCCCATTTATCTTCACATTTGAGAAGTCATGTCATCGAGCAATTCTAATGGGAAAGTGTGTTTTGATAGGAGAAAAAAAAAAAAAACAAACAAAAAAACAACAAACAACAAACCCAAACCCCAAACCCTGGCTTTCAGAAAATGTCTTTAAATAAAGATCTCCAAGCAGCTGCAGTACAACCTTGTTTGGGGGAGCCCAGCTCCACCCTCGGCTGCCGTCCCAGCCCACAGTGAGTCACGGAGCGAGCCCAGCTGCCTGACAGCGATTTTCTCCACTTGACCCCTTTCTCATCCCAAATAACAGGATTTGTGATGTGTCCCTTTCGCCGGGTTTCCTTGGCTGGGGGCAGAAGGACTGCTGTGGTTTGGTTGTGGTGCTGAGCTTCTCGGTCATTCCCCTGTCAGACAAACCACCGCCACCCCGTGCCTCTCCCTGGCTGAAGGATGAAGGGGGACCATGCTGGTCTCACCTAGCAGGAGGGTGGCGATGGGGGCAGGAAGGCTGAGGAGCCCCAAAAAGGCAGCTGGGAGTGGAGGGAGCAAGGTCAAGCCATATCCCCTCACCCCAGTTCGGTGTTTTGGACTGACATGAGCCTCCGCTCACCACCACCTCAAGCATGAAGCCAGGGTCTGTCTGGGCAGCGTGAACTTGGCCCAGGGTCCTGTCTCCAGGCTGGAGGAGTCTCCTCATCAGCTGCAGTCCCCTTTCATCGCCCCTTTTGGAAACTCTTTGTGCCCTGGTTTTGCTGGCAACTTGCTCATCCCATCAGATCTCTCTTCTCACAGAATCCCAGAATCATCTCAGTTGGAAAAGACCTTGAAGATCCTCCAGTCCAACCATTAACCTCTCACTGACTGTTCCCAGCTCCACCATATCTCATCACAAGCCTGAGCTGTCTCTGTTTGGTCTCACCTTGATGGCTTCAGGACTGATCCTGGCTCGGTGCCTGCCCTCCTTGCAGCACTTTTAGGCTGCGAACAGGTTTCCCATCTTGGCGTGGCCATCCTCAGCCTCCTCCAACAAACCCCTGGGTGGGATGGGACACCCCTCCAGCACCGTACCCGGCGGCGGTGGGATGTCCCCAGGTCTCCTGGAGGTGCCTCACCCAGTGCTTTCTGCGGCCGTGCACACCACAGGGAGGGCATGGGAGGTGGTCCGAGGCGGCACCTGGAGATGCCACCATTCCCCCTCTGACCTCCCTCTCTTTTCACACCAGCAGTCGCTGAGGAGGGGATGATTCGGCTGGTGAACGGCTCCGGCTCCCACGAGGGACGGGTGGAGGTCTTCTACGACCGCCGTTGGGGCACAGTGTGTGATGACGGCTGGGACAAGAAGGACGGAGACGTGGTGTGCCGGATGCTGGGCTTCCGAGGCGCTGAGGAGGTGTACCGCATGGCCCGGTTTGGCCAAGGTGAGACCCCTCCACTTCTTCCCCCGCCTCACCTGATATAGATACCTGGGTCCAGCCCATAAATAAACCAGAGACCCCCCAAAAATGAAACACAGAATCATCTGGGTTGGAAAATCCCTTGCAGCTCCTCCAGCCCAACCATGACTCTCCCCTTGACCGTTCCCAACTCCCCCAGATCCCTCAGCGCTGGCTCAGCCCGACTCTCCAACCCCTCCAGGGATCCCGGGGACTCCCCCCTGCCCTGGGCAGCCCATTCCAACGCCCAACAGCCCCTTCTGCACAGAAATCCTTCCTCAGAGCCAGCCTGACCCTGCCCTGGGCAGCTTGAGGACATTCCCTCGGGGCCTGGCGCTGGCTCCTTGGCTCCAGAGACTCATCCCCCCTCTCTGCCCCCTCCTGGCAGGGAGTTGCAGAGGGCCAGGAGGTCTCCCCTCAGCCTCCTCTTCTCCAGACTGAACCCCCCCAGTTCCCCCAGCCGCTCCCCAGCAGACCTGTGCTCCAGACCCTGCCCCAGCTCCGTTGCCCTTCTCTGGCCACGCTCGAGTCACTCAGTGGCCTTTTTGGGGTGAGGGGCCCAGAACTGAACCCAGGAATCGAGGGGCGGCCTCCCCAGTGCTGAGCACCAGCATGCCTCCCACGAGTGGGACTTGGGCTGTGGTGGCCCGAGAAGCTTCAATCTGGTCAAGCACTGCTTTCATTCAGCACGGCCAGCCCTGGGTGTCCGCAAATATTTTGGCATTGGCTTGCGGGACCGCGTGCAAGCACATCGCTGGCGCTGGCCCAGGTGGCTCCTTCCCCTGCTCCGGCTCCCTCGGCGCTCACACCCTGCCACGCGCTGACTCAGCACCAGAGAACCATCCCCGGGCTTGTTGTTTTTGAACGGACGCTTTGGGTTTTTCAGCCGGACATGACTTTTGAGATCTATTTAAAAAAAAAAAAAAAAAAAAAAAAAAAAAAAAAAAAAAAAAGGAAAAGCTTTTAAAAACAGAGGGGAAATGTCAGGAACATTTTGGCGGGTGGAAGGGTGGCCTTTGGCCCCAAAGCGTTGGGTTGGGGTGTTTCTGCCCGGACCAGCTCCTTCCCACATAGGCTTTTTAACTCCTTGAGTTGCCTTCTCTCCAGCTGCTCAGGGCTGCCAAGGAGGCGACAGGTAGCCACCATGGCTGTCATCTAGCCATGACCATGCTGGTTGACCAAACCTGCTCCATGAGTGCAGCTGGACCCCTCCAAGAGCTGGTGTCCTTCCCACCAGCCCTGGGAGACCTCGGAGCTAGTTTCACCAGCATTGTCCTGGCTGTCCACACCCAGATTTCTTCCCTGTCTCCCACCCTGGTTGCCTACTACCCCCTGAGCTGCTACAGCCGCTCGGAATCCTGGCACAGCGTCATCCAGAGCCTGCCTTGGGGCATGGGCTTCACTTGGGTTGTCCCAACTGGGAAGAGCTGCTGCGCCTCCTCTTGTGATCCCCTCAACACGGCAAGGAAAGTGCCCAAATCCCCCCACCCAGCTGCCAGTGGATGCCCAGCAGATTCAGGGGCATGACCCCAAAGGTTCTGCCACACCACAGTGCCACTTTCGGTCATCCTTGGTGGGCAGGAGGACCCCGTCCGTTCCCCACCAGCCGTGGTACAGCCAGTGCCTTGCTGTGCACTGGTGGCTGGTGTCTCTCCTGGGGCTATTTCTTCCAGGGGCTTGGTAGCTCCCGAATTCTGGGGCTACCCCACTGCCACATGCCAGATGTGCCGCACCCAGCACCCCTGAGGGCAGAGCTGCGGTCTGTTTGTACGGGGGTGAATAGGGAGACTCAGAGAATCCCAGACTGGTTTGGGTGGGAAGGGACCTCAAAGCCCCTCCAGTGCCCCCCCCTGCCCCGGGCAGGGCCACCTTCCACCAGCCCAGGTTGCCCAAAGCCCCGTCCAACCTGGCCTTGAACCCTTCCAGGGAGGGGGCAGCCACAGCTTCTCTGGGCAGCCTGTGCCAGGGCCTCACCCCCTCACAGGGAACAATTGCTGCCTCAGATCTCATCTCAATCTCCCCTCTGTCAGTTTAGAGCTGTCACCCCTTATCCTAACTACATGCCCTTGTAAAAAGTTACATCATTTCCCCCCCCCCTTTCCTGCAGCCCCTTTCAGCCCTGGGGGGCCGCTCTAAGGTCTCTCTGGAGCCTTCTCTTCCTCAGCTGAACCCCCCAACTCTCT